ACTCTTCTTTTGTTGTGACCAAGTTATTACTTGGAAAGATGTAAGCCCGTAGGGCATTCATTTTGTTGCTAACATGTACTATTGTTTATAAAGAAGACTCTGATGAATAGAAATATAATATTTATTCTATGTTCATGGTTTATATGAATGGTTGTCTTATACTTTATTTTGAGGGCGTTACAGTTTCCATTGAAGATTGAAAGTGTGCAATCTTGTTTGATGGCTGAAGTAAAAGATCCTTCTTGGTTATGGCATTTTCGTTATGGCCACTTGAGTTTTGGTGGATTGAAGACCCTCCAACAGAAAAATATGGTGACAGGTCTTCCTTAGATTAGTATTCTTTCCCAAGTTTGTGAAGAATGTGTTGTTGGCAAACAACATCGTTCTCAATTTCCCCAAGGGAAATCATGGCGAGCAAAAGGTGTTTTGGAGCTAATTCATTCCAATATGTGTGGCACGATAACACCAATCTCTAATGGAGGTAAAAGATACCTAATTACCTTCATTGATGATTATACTCGAAAAACTTGGGTTTATTTTTTACAGGAAAAATCAGAAGATTTTTGTGCATTTAAAAGCTTCAAGCCTCGTGTGGAAAATAAACAAGAAACACCATTAAGACCCTCCGAACAGATCATGGTGGAGAATATTACTCAACCGAATTTGAAAATTTTTGTGAAGTTCATGGCATTCAAAGAGAGCTGATAACTGGTTATACACCACAACAAAATGGTGTATCAGAGAGGAAAAACAGAACCATCTTCAATATGGTGAGAAGCTTGTTGGCAAGAGGGAGAATTCCAAAACCTTTTTGGCCTGAAGCAGTAAATTGGAGTATTCACATCTTGAACAGAAGTCTTACATTTTCTGTTCAAAATATGACACCAGAGGAGGCTTGGAGTGAAAAGAGACCAGCTGTAGATTATTTTAAAATTTTTGGTTGCATTGCTTATGCACATATCCCGGATGAGAAAATGAAGAAACTAGATGATAAGGGGGGGAAAGTGTGTCTTTCTTGGTGTTAGTGAAGTATCCAAAGTGTATAAATTGTTTAATCCACTAACCAAGAAGATTGTGACCAGTCGTGACGTTGTCCTTGATGAGGAAAACACTTGGCAGTAACCTACTCAAGTTCTTTTTGACAATGATTCTGAAAGAGAGCCAACTCCAGCAGTCATTATGCCTGAAAATTCATCAGACGCAACTCCAACAACTGTTGAAATTTTGCCAACAGTAGCAGAAGCTACTGATACAGCAGCTCATTCTCTTCGTCGTATTCGAAAAAGGCCCGCATGAATGGAAGACTATGAGGTAAATGAAACTGAATTTGAAGATTCAATCACTCATTTTGCTTTATTTTCAGATTGTGATCCTACAACTTTTGAAAGCGCTGTCAAAGAAGCAAAATGGTGGAAGGCGATGGATGATGAAATTGATGCCATTGAAAGAAATAATACTTGGGAGCTTACTGATCTTCTGAAAGGGTACAAAACCATTGGTGTAAAGTGGGTCTTCAAAACAAAACTAAAGGAAAATGGTGAAGTTGACAAGTATAAGGCGTGTTTGGTAGCTAAGGGATACAAGCAGGAATATGGGATCGATTATACAGAAGTTTTTGCTCCCGTTGCAAGACATGATACAATCAAATTGGTGATCGCATTGGCAGCATAGAACTCGTAGCCTATTTTCCAACTAGATGTCAAATCGGCATTCTTGCATGGGAACTTGGAGGAACAGGCATTTGCAGAACAACCCCTTGGTCATATTAAGATCGAAAGTGAACATAAAGTGTATAGATTAAAAAAAGCTCTTTATGGATTAAAACAAGCTCCACGAGCTTGGTATAGTCGTATTGAGGCTTATTTTTTGAAAGAAGGCTTTCACAAATGTCCATATGAGCACACACTTTTTGTTAAAATTGGAGATAAGGGAAAACTGCTCATTGTCTGCTTATATGTAAACGATCTTATATTTACTAGAAATGATGGTGTCATGTTTAAAGAATTCAAGAAATCTATGATGGTTGAATTTGAAATGTCTGACCTTGGTGTGATGCATTACTTCCTTGGCATAGAAGTAGTGCAATCAGCTAATGGGATCTTTATATCTCAAAAGAAGTATGTGCAAGATATTTTGGACAGGTTTCGGATGAAGGATTGCAATCTTGTAAGCACGCCAACTGAGTTTGGCTTGATGCTAAACAAAGATCATGATGGGAAGAAGGTGGATAGTACACTTTACAAGCAAATTGTTGGTAGTTTGATGTATTTAACTGCAACAAGACCGGATATAATGTATTCTGTGAATTTAATAAGTAGATATATAGAGAATCCAACATAAATGCCTTTGTTAGCTGCCAAGAGAATCCTTCGTTACTTGCAAGGAACTAGAGATTTTGGGTTATTCTCAAGGTTCTGAAAAGCGGTTGCGGTCGCCGTAACGGTGGTGGTGGCAGCGTAACGGTTGCGGTTACCGGAACTGTGAATTTTTTTATTTTTTGCACAATTTGCAAAAGACTTACTGATACACATATTTTGTTTTTAGAATCATATTTATTGGGTTTTAAAATGAATTTTGATAAATTTTTTATAATTTTTAAGTATGATCCAATATATTTCATATTTTTAAATCACTAGAAAATGAATTTTTTTACATTTTATTTCAATAATTAATGACTTTATATGTCATAAATCTATATTACACTTATGGCAAAAAATTCTTTTATTGGACTTAGATGTATAAGATTATTTTTAATCATTATACTTGTAGACGCATATGTACATTTTAACTCAAATAATTTTAAAAAAGCATACATCCTTAATTGAAGAACTTGACAAAGTACATAACATCATAGCATAAATCACAAATAACAGAGAGTACATTTTACATAATGTTACTACTAAAATTACATAATGTCACCACCAAAATGAGTGACATGGTGCATCTTGGGATTCAGATTGTTGAGCTTGATTGTTGCTGCTACCTTCACCCCACCAAAATGAGTGACGTGGTGCATCTTAGGAATCAGATTGTTGAGCTTGATTGCTACTACCTTCACCCCATCCAGTAGGAAATATATAAGTAAATGTGCTCATCATGTTATCCCTTTCTATTTCGTGCATTGGGAGAGAAAATGGATACCTTGGCTGAAAAGGATCAACATACTCTTCTTGGGCTTGTTGATAATTTGGCAAACCGTATCCTAGAGGACCATGTTGTTGAGGGGCCCAAGGATAATTTTGTTGGGGTGGGTAAGGATAGCTCTGGCTATCACTGCTATAGGATGGATAAGGGTGATATGGATAACTATGACTACTATCAAATGAATCAAGTTGTTGTTCTCTACTTCTTATTCTTCTTTCATCCCTACGTGTATCACTACCACGAAACCTCCTAGGTAGTTGGGGTAAAGGTGCAACAGGTTCTCCAATATCCTAATGTTCCCTAACATCACATAATCCAAATCCTCTAATAAAATCTTCATTTCTTGCCTCAAAACTAGTACCATCATCGCCATTACCGCCATTGTCACTGCCACCACCACCACCGCCACTATGAGAAGTGCTTTCACCATCACCATCATCATCTCCTCCATCAGATGGTGTTAAACCACCACTATTATCACTTTGATTTGGAGTAGGAGTTGAGCTTTGAGAAGTGCGTCGAGCTTGATATCTATGGGTGCCACCACCATCGTTTCCATCGCTGCCATCGCCATTGTTGTCGTCGTCGCCACCACCATCATCATCTAAGACCAAATCTCGTCATTCAAAATTATCCACACCATCTAGTAAAGGATTTTCCCTTTCTTCTATCCATAGACTTATTGGATCGTCTTCTTCAAATATGTAATCCAAGTTAATAGAATTAAAACTCCTATCAATCTCCTCTTGGCTACTTCTTTTAACGTGTCTCAATTTTAATCTCATGTTGTAGGTGATGAAGACTAATCTTTGAATTTTCTTATATTTCAATCTATTCCTCTTCTTTGTATGGATGAGACTAAAAGTACTCCAATTACGTTCATAGTGAGATGATGTGGTGGTCTGACTTAGCATTTTCACAGTTATTTTTTGAAGTTCAGGAGCACAACTGCCATGAATAATACACCACTCAGCTGCACAAAATTACATTACATTAGACATAAATCAAAATATGATAGAAAATTATTTAAGTATTTATATATTGTAAATTTGTAATTTTGAAAATAAAACCTGGATTTGATTGTTTCCATACTCTTTGTGCTAAAGGAGTGCCAAAAGTTTCCTATTTATCTCGAAACAGCAACAAGTAAAATTTGGAGAATCATTACAAGTAACATTTGTCGAAACAGCAACAACTACAATTTGGAGAATCATTACAAGTAACATTTGCAAAAATAGATTATTACTATTAAAATTTAAATAAGTGGTACGTACTTGATTTGTTGCTTTCACTTGAATATCTATATTAGGCTTCAGTCTGGTAATTACTTTTTTTAAGTTCATCCATCACTTCTCTTATCATTTCATTGGATGACGTAACACCATATTGGAATTGAGGATTTAAAAAATATCCTTCAAAAATAAGAAGACAATTAATAAGTGTAAATAAATATACATTTTATAATTGAAATCGTAAAACTTACCAGCCGCATACAAATCTTGATGCAATTGAAAAGACCATCGAGTATCAATAATTTTCCAATAATCAGTGTAGTAGCGACAATCTCTTTTAATTGCCAACTTTGCTCTATCTATAGCTTCATATATGAAACCCATTGTTGGCTTCTCATCCCCATCAACCAACCTCAATACTCTGACTAGGGGCTCATGAACTTTACAAAGCTCTGTTGCTTTCTGCCAAAACTCCTTTTCCAAAATAATTTTTTTCACATTGTAAGGCTGCCCAGTCTTTGCCTTCCTCCATCTAGAATTCTTCCACTCATCACTATTAAACATAGCTCTCAATTGTTGTTTATATCTAACAATACTCTCAATAGTAATAAAATTTGTAGCAAATCAAGTGATGGTAGGTCGAATCAATTCTCTATCTCCAATGAATTTTCTAATTAAATCCAACACCCATCCACTATTATAAATGAAATTGGTGATAGTTTTATCATCTTCAATCACATTTGCTACACTTTTCTTATTGGCTATGTCTTTTAGCATGAGATCGATACAATGTGTTGAACAAGCTGTCCAATATAAATGATTTCTTTTTCTCATTAACATTTTACCGGCAGCTTTTAGTGCAGGTTCATTATCAGTTACCACTTGAACAACATATTGTTCTCCAATTTCATCAACTTTATCTAACAACCCAAAATAATATTCAGCAGTCCTACTAATAATATTAGAGGCATCAATTGATTTGTGAAATATAGTACATCTATTGCAATACACTAAGAAGTTGATGATGTGTTGCCGAGTTAGACTGCTCCAACCATCATACATGATGGATACACCTCTCTCTGTCCAAATTCCCTTGAATGATCCTACCCATTCTGTCAATTCATTATGCTCCATGCCCAAATATACTTCAGAAACTTCATAAGCACTAGGACCTTTTACTTTTGGCCCTACTTTAGCAACAACATCAAGCATGGGTTGTGTATACTTTGAATCAACTGCATTGAATAGAATACAATTATAGAGCATAAACTTGGACACTGCCTGTCTCTCTCTTAACTTCTGTAAATTCATTGTAGAGATTTTTCGCTGCTTTGTACTCTTGCTCTTTTGGAGTTCTACATCCATTGCCCTAAACCTTGCTTCAGGAGCATTGGGCTTAATCCAATTACGTCCACTCTCACCAGTTTCACGCACGAATTGTGATCGACGAAAAACATTAACAATACCTGACCCTTTTGGCATTCTTTGACCACTACCCCTTGCACCAGAACTCCCACCTGCATTGTATTGTGATCTATGACTTGCAACACCTCGTCTAAATTGTTGCCTTTCCTCCCATTGTTGTTGTGAACGAATACTTGCTTGTCTAGCCCTGGTCATCTCTGGATCAGAGTCAGAGTCATCATCTCGAAGATCTATAAAATCTCTCCCTTCATCCTCATCATAAAGATCATCTCCTCTAATATGTGCTTCTAATTTGTTTGTCTGCTTTACTCATTTTCTTGTTTTGTAAATGTTTCATCATTTCTTGCATCACGTCTCAATTAACATTAGGACAAGAATGCCCTTGCCCCGTTTGATGTACTAAATGTTGTTTGAAACGTGTAATCCCACCTTTAATGTGATGTCCACAAAATTTACAAATAATATGATGCCTAGTGTCTTCAACTTGAGTTCCAAATTTCCAACCAATATCATCACTTGGGGGTTCATCATTAGCACTTTTTTGTCGTGACGTTTTTGAATTTGAATTCTGCATCATTGATACATTTTTTTAATTTATTTTAAATGTTTACAAAATTATTTTTCAGCAAAACTTGAACTAACTAAATAAACAATATTTACATTTATTAAATGAAATGATTGTAAAAAAAATGCAACCACTATTTATACATTTAGTTTTTATATGCTAATGTAATCATATAAAAATTAAAAAATAAATTATATTAGGTGAATTTATTTTTTTTGAACTATTGATTTTTTTTAAAAAAAAAAAAATTTAGCCATAAAAATTGTTGGCACAACACATTACAATTTAACATTAAAAATATTTAAAATTAAATACTAAATAAAATAATTATAAAAAAATGCAACCACTATTATACATTGGATTTTACATGCTAATGTAATCATATAAAATTAAAAATAAATTATAAAGATATTTTTAAAAGAAGAAAATTTTGCCGTAAAAATTGTTGTCACAACAAAATTTTCGTCATTAAAAAAAATAAAAATTTGTTGTCACAAACACATTACAATAACAAAATAAAAAAAATATTTATAATTAAATGTTAAATGAAATGATTATAAAAAAAATTCAACCACTATTTTATACATTTGGATTTTACATGCTAATGTGAGATTAGAATAAGACGATTTTATGCCATTGTTTGAGCTATTGTTTTTTTTTTTTTTTTTTTTTTATAGAAAGACATTTTAAAAAAAAAATTTGTGCCTCTCAAAATTGTTGTCACAGCACATTACAATAACAAAATTAAAAAAAAATATTTCGAATTAAATACTAAGTAAAATAGTTATAAAAAAATCAAGCCACTATTATACATTTCGATTTTACATTGCTAAAGTGTAAATCATATAAAATTAAAAAATGAATTATAAAGATTTTTTGAGGTTATTGATTTTTTTTTTTTATAAATATTTTTAAAAATAAAAATGTTCCTTTAACATGTTGTAATTAACAAAATAAAAAATATTTATAATTAAATGTTAAATAAAATGATTATAAAAAAAATGCAACCACTATTTATGCACTTGGAGTTTACATGCTAATATAGATATATAAAAAATTAAAAATAAATTATAAATAATTTTTTGAGGTATAGATATTTTTAAAAATTATACTATATTTTTAAATAAAAAATTGGCCTTTAACAGTGTTGGTAGTACAAATAAATAAATATTTAACAAGTTTAATGATGATGATTAAAAAAAAAATGTCAACACTATTTATAAGTTTTATGAGTTAACATGCTAATATAATCATATAAAATTAAAAAATAAATTATTAAGAATATTTTTTGTAGGTATATTTTGTTTTCTTTAAAAAGATAATTTTAAAAAAAAAAATATACTTCAAAACATTGTGTTGTTCACAAACAATTAAAACAATAAAAAAATATTTATAAGTTAAATATTAAATGATGATATAAAAAGAAATTCACCACTATTTACACCTTTGAATTTACATGTTATATAGCTATATATAAAAATTAAAAGAATAAATTATAAAGAATTTTTTTAAGGTATTATTTTTTTCTTTTAAAAGATATATTTAAAAAAATAGTGTGTCAACATTGTTGTCAAAACACATATACAAAAAGAATAAGAATATTATAATTAAATTTAAAATGACATGAATATAAAAAAATGCAATCACTTATTTATACATTTGTAAATTTAGCTACAGTATCATATAAAATTGAAAAAACAAATGTTTTTTAAAGAAAAAATTCATACATGAGTGTTTTGGACTTCAATTCACTTGAGTATTTGGTATTCTTTTTTGAATAACCTGAAGAAAAAAAAAATCAATAAAAATTGGCATAATAAAATGTATTAATATAATTATAGCGTTTTGATTTTTTATAAATATTATTTAAAAAAAATCAAATAATCATATATTAAAATAACTAAAAATAAAGTGCCAATAGCTCTTCTCTCTCTATATATATATATACTTATATATTAAATTAAAATTAACTAAAATATATCACATAAAATTTTTGTAGGCTTT